CTTATCACCATATGTTCGGGCTCTTAAAATGTGCTTAGGTAGGGCTGCCTTTGAAGACTCAGAAACTATGAGTGATAAAGAATGCAAAGGTCAGGAAAAATCCACTATTAGCAGGAACAATTGCAAAATAACACCTATTTTTGTATTTGTTGCACCAATTGGCAATTTTCCAACCTATGGTGCATTCAGAAAGTATTCAGACCCCCTTCACTTTTGTCAATTTGTTTATGCTGCAGCCTGATTCTGCAGTTGTTGAAGTTCATTTTTTTCTTCTCATTAATCTACACTCAGTACCCCATAATGACAAAGTGAAAACAGAGGTTTAGAAATGTCTGTAAATTTATTAAAAAGAAAAAAAATGGAATATCACATTGGCATAAGTATTCAGACCCTGTGCAACAACACTTGAAATTTAGCTCAGATGCCTCCCTTTTCTCTCAATTGTTGCTGACGTGTTTCTACACCTTGGTGTAGAGGTGACCAAGAACCCAATGACTAAGCTCCAGACATCCTGTGTGGTGATGGGACAGAGTCCCAGAAGGACAACCATCACTGCAGCCCTCCACCAATCTGGGCTTTATGGCAGAATGGCTAGACAGAAGCCTCTCCTCAGTGCAAAACATATGAAAGCCTGCTTGGAGTTTGCAAAAAAGCACTTGAAGGACTCTCAGACTGTTAAAGAGTTTGCCTGTCCTTAAGTTTTCCCTCTTTGTCCAAAATATCTTTATAATTAACCAGTTTATCATAGTTAATCAGATTTGGATAAGCAAATGCTTCCATTGTTGAAAGCCACTCAGGTATTTTCATATATATTTTATGTTTGATTTTCTCCTGTTCTGAAAGTAGTACGTTTCTTATTGCATGGTTTTGAAAGTATTTATGTGCTTTAGTTTTCTCATACCATATAAAAGCATGCCAACCTAATTGAAGATCATGTCCCTCTAAATAAAGCAATCTTTTATTTCTCAATACAATCCATTCTTTAAAGCCAAAGCAGAATAGCTGCTTGATAATAAAGTCTCTAATCTGGAAGTCCAAAGCCCCCTCTATCCTTAGATTCTTGTAACAATTTACATTTGATTCTGGCTTTCTTTCTTTGCCATATAAATCTTAAAATCATTGCATTTAAATCATAAAAAAAAATCTTAGTAAGTTTAATAGGTACTGTTTGGAATAAAAAAATTAGGCAAAAACATTTGGCAAAATGTTCATCTTAACCGTCACTATTCTTCCTAGGAGTGATAATTGAAGATTTTCCCATCTTTCCAGGTCTATTTTTATTTGTTTCATTAATCTCTCATAATTATCTTCTTTTAATGTGGTATATTTTGCAGTTAAATAAATACCCAAATATTTGACTTTTTTTAACTATTTGAAGGTTTGTCATTTTAGAAAGTTGAATTTTCTGTTTATCTGTTAGGTTTTTTGTTAATACTTTAGTCT